ATATATATATATATATATATATATATATATATATATATATATATATATATATATATATATATATATATATATATATATATATATATATACACACATACATCAAAAGCTTTCACCTTCTCTCTTGTAGAATCATTTATAGAATCCAGTCTCTGTGGTGCAGCCGAAGCAATTACACAACCTTCTCAATAAATGCAATTACACCCTATCAATACAGTCTGCAATAACTCCTATGGAGTCCACCTCTCTCCTCTTCTCTCATCTCCTCTCCATCCCCTTCTCTTTTCTGTCATCCGTCTCTAAGAGCTTCTCTTGTGCTGCTTTCTTCTCAGAACCCACCATATTGTCTTACATGCATGCATTAAACCCACTATTACTTTAATTTCTCCCACAATTCTCGCCTTCTAAGAGGGAGAGAGAGAGAGAGAGAGAAGGAAGCGTGAGAAGCAGTGCTGCTCGTCCTAGGACTACGTCTTGGTTGTCAACATTATTTGGCATTAAAAGCTATGCATCTCCCTGTTCACCTCTGCTGTTTCTCGATATGTAATCCAGTTACAAGGTCTTCTCTAAGAACTTTTAGGGTTCTCCCAGCCTAGAGATAAATAAAGAGAAAGAGAGGTGAGCCTAGGGTTTGGTGCAGAGGGAGGGGTTATCCCTGCAGGGATTATGATTCCTGCAACGCATGTGGCATCGATGATCGGGATGAACAGAAGTGCCGAGTATCAATCCTCGGCGGCTCTATCTCTCGGTCAGGTGAGCGAGTCTAAGCATTCTTGTTCTTTCTATTGCCTTTTAGATCATATATGTGATCTCCATGGTAGTACTAGGTTTTGCAGGACTGACTGAGAGAAAGAATGAGATCAGTTTCTTTTGTGCATGTTCTCTAGGTAGAGTTTGGTAGAGTTAAAGATTTAAGGGTTTTTGGAGCCATTCGATGTCGAATCCTCCTCTCTATATGAGAAACAAAGAGATGAAATGTCCGTTTGGTGGTCTTTCATCTCCCTCTACTTGTTGTCTTGTTCCCTTGTTGAGGAAGATGCTATGACACTTTTTTTTTTCCTGCGTATTTTGGAGTTTTTGAAGGGTTCTCTTCATCCTTTTTCAGTACCCAAAGTTCTCTTGTGTTTTCTTGAGAAACAAATGGGAGGCTAAAACTGTAGGAGTGACATGTTGTCATCCCTTTTTCTTCTTTCCTGTCAACTTCCCATCTTCTTCTTCTTCTTCTTCTTCTTCTTCTACGTCAAGTGCCCGTTTCTAACTTTTGTAGCCAAATTTGATGGATGAACAGGAACCCCCATTTCAATACCAACATCAGCATCAGCTTGTGGAGATTCCGCAGACAGCGGTAGCTGAGATTGAGATGCCAACTGTTCGGGATGACGAGTTCGAGACCAAATCTTTTGGCGACAACATTGAGAATGCCTCCGAAGACGATCGGGATGGGAACCAGCGGCCTCGCAAGAAGCAATACCACCGCCACACTCAGCACCAAATACAAGAATTGGAGGCGTAATAACTCGTGCCTGTTCTTCCATTCCTTTATTGCTTTACATAAACTCTCCCAGTGATCTAAGCGGGCATGCAAGTCTCTCTCTCTTTCTCAAGATAAAAGGAATAGGAGAAGAGAACATTTAATTCTATTTTCCACAATGTTTTTATTTCTCTTTTAATCTCATTAAATATTACCTCTTACAACTTTTGGAAATGCTTTCTGTTTGGGGAAGAAAAAGAACATGCCTTTGTTTCCTCTCAGTTTCTTCAAGGAGTGTCCTCACCCGGATGACAAGCAGAGAAAGGAGCTGAGTCGCGAGCTTGGGCTGGAGCCTCTCCAAGTCAAGTTCTGGTTCCAAAACAAGCGCACCCAAACCAAGGTTTAACCCTAAACCTCCTTGAATCGAATTCATGCAAATGACCAGAACACTTTTTGCCACCGCTGTGTTAGTCTGGTTATCAGTAATGCTCAGTAGTCGATCTCTCTCTCTCTCTTTCCTATTTGGTTCGTGACGTAGAATCATCAAGAGAGGCACGAGAACTCGCGGCTGCGGGCTGAGAACGAGAAGCTCCGGGCCGAGAACTTGAGGTACAAGGAGGCACTAAGCAATGCGTCATGTCCCAATTGTGGTGGCCCTTCGTCTCTAGGAGAGATGTCCTTCGATGAGCACCAACTCAGGATCGATAATTCTCGTCTGCGCGAGGAGGTTTGTATCTGTTCTTGATCTTTACATGACCTTCGAGTGCTCGGGTACTTCATCGAACGTCTAAAAATGCCGTTGAAATGCCTGCTAGATTGGTAGATTATCTGCCATAGCCGCCAAGTACGTCGGCAAGCCCGTAGTTCCTCACCAGTTATTCTCTCCGATGGCTGAGAGCGACATGCTTGGGGCAGGAGACTTACTCGGGAGCATGTTCGGCCACAGGGAGATCGAGAAACCCGTCGTTATCGAGCTCGCAGTGGTTGCCATGGAGGAGTTAACAAGGATGGCGCGACTCAGTGAGCCTCTATGGACGATGAAACATGGTGACTCATTCGAGATACTGAGCGAAGATGAGTACGTGAGGAACTTCCCTAGAGGAATTGGGCCAAAACCCTTGGGAATGAAGTCGGAGGCGACGCGTCAGACCGCGGCGGTCATCATGAATCGTGTCAACCTGGTTGAGATGCTTATGGATGTGGTAAGAGAGTTACAGTTTTAGGAAAGCTTGTGATGAAATTGATTCAAGTTGCTTTACTTATTTGTCCATTTCACCTTGACGATGAACAGAATCAGTGGTCGAATGTGTTCTCCGGCATTGTATCGAAAGCTATCACGCTCGAGGTGCTATCCACTGGAGTAGCAGGAAATTACGATGGAGCTCTACAGCTGGTATATATAGTAGCTTCATATACTGTATCTTCTTACACTTTGCAGTTGTTCCAAGCGAACAAGGATGAAACTTCTGATCTTGAATTCTCAGATGACAGCGGAATTCCAAGTACCATCTCCTCTTGTTCCAACCCGGGAGATCTTGTTCGTCCGGTACTGCAAACACCAAGCTGACGGAAGTTGGGCGGTGGTTGATGTTTCCTTGGACACCTTACGCCCTCCTCTGGTTGCAAGGTGTCGAAGAAGGCCATCTGGCTGCCTGATTCAAGAGATGCCTAATGGATACTCGAAGGTAAAAGAACCTGTAAACCACAAAACAATGAGATGCTGCTTCTGATTCTTATCACATGTATGATTCATTCCCCGTCGTGCAGGTTACTTGGGTTGAGCATGCTGAGGTTGACGATGGATCTGTTCATGACATATATAAGCCCTTGGTTAACTCGGGCCTGGCATTTGGTGCAACGAGGTGGATTGGTTCCTTGGATCGCCAATGCGAGCGCCTCGCAAGTCTAATGGCAAGCAACGTTCCCTCTGGGGATATCACTGGTAATGAGCTTTTCTTGTTTCTATTCACCTTCATGCTACAGCTAATATAGCGGAATGCAAATAAGTGGAGATGTTTCTGTGGTGTCGCAGTCATAACTACAGCGGAAGGGAGGAAATGCATGTTGAGGTTGGCTGAGAGGATGGTGACGAGTTTTTGTGGTGGTGTGAGTGCCTCCACCGCTCATCAATGGACTACGGTATCTGGTAATGGTGCAGAGGACGTGAGGGTGATGACCAGAAAGAGCGTTGGCGATCCTGGCAGGCCTCCCGGCATCGTCCTCAACGCTGCTAAATCCTTCTGGCTTCCTGTCCCGCCGAAGAGGGTCTTCGATTTCCTCCGCGACGAACGATCTCGCAACGAGGTAAACACAATCTTATCACTTCACAATCTAAGTAGATTTCTTACCTCTCAGTTTTGGTGCATCGACAGTGGGATATCCTTTCAAATGGTGGTGGCGTTCAAGAAATGGCTCACATCGCCAATGGCCGAGACCACGGCAACTGCGTCTCTCTTCTCCGAGTCAATGTAAGCTTATAAACCGCTTGTGGAGTACATTGATAGTCCCAGTTTCTTGCACTGGACTAACTGATGCTGATCTATTAGAGTGTGAAGTCAAGCCAGAGCAACATGCTGATACTGCAAGAGAGCTGCACGGATCCGGTCGTCTCCTACGTGATCTACGCGCCGGTGGACGTGGTCGCCATGAACGTGGTGCTTAATGGTGGCGATCCCGACTACGTTGCTCTCTTGCCCTCCGGCTTTGCCATCTTACCAGATGGCGCTTCTGCAGCGCAAGGTAGCCTCGTCACTGTTGCATTCGAGATACTGGTCGACTCGGTCCCGACCGCGAAGATCTCGCTCGGCTCGGTCGCCACCGTTAACAGCCTCATTGCGTGCACCGTTGAACGAATCAAGGCTGCATTGGTTGGCGAAAACGTTGCATGAGTCTGAATCATTTGGGTAAGAGAGAATGGTTTTGCCTGCTTCCAATTCATAATTGGTGGCTCCACATCTGTGGGTGGTCTTGTTGAACAGAGTTTCCATGTAGCTACAGAGGCCTTAGGGTTTATATTATGCTATCTCAAGAAAAGAATCATGTCATGACTTGGTACTGAGTAGCTTAGAATTATTGGTAATTTTGTCTTGAGCCCTTGAGATGATGAAGGGTTTGATTTTGTTTTCCTTGATCTGTTTAGTTATTTTTTCTTATGAGATGCTCCTAAATGCAGTTTTAGTTGTAGAGAGAGGTTGTGATGGTCTCAAAATTTCAGTAAGAAAATAAATCTGTCCTGTGGACGTGTTCTTGAAAAAGTCAAAGTTGTTCATATGCTCAAAGCATACTGTGGCGGCCCACCGCGGCCGTGGGTTTCCCCCACGTGGGCCGAACCATCGCCTCCATGGGAAGGCCGCAATCACTCGTCTTCGCGCTCTCTGAATGGGTTTTCTGGGCTTAGGGTTAGGGTTTGGACTGAGAACCCACGAGGAAAGCGGCAATCGCGGAGGGGCGTGGAGAAGCCGGGAGTGGCCGAAACGGATCCATTTCATGGCAGTATGGGACCCGTTTTACTCGGTTGCGGGAACTTCGTGCGCAAAGTTCACATGGCGTCCGTCATCGGAGCCGAACTCTTCGTCGTCGTCGTCTAAGGTTTCATGCATTCCCGCTCCTGCCTTTTTCTCAGTGCGGCTTTCCTTCTCCATTGGCAATTTTTGCCCTTTCTCACGCATGGATATCCTCGCATTTAGGATTGTTAGAGACTTTGTTCTCGTTCTTGGTTTTATCCAACTGCTAGGCGAGTAGGATCGTGATGGCAGGAGCATAAGTACGTTGGCTGCTTCAAAACTAGGGCTTTTTAACATGGCTTATGGAGTTTCCTTTTTGCCCTTTCGTATGATGGTTTGAAGTTAGGGTTTTGCCTTGGTTTTTATAGAAATTACCAATTTCTAAAAGTTTGTGCTTTTTGAGTCCCATTATTTTGTTTCATGTTATCAACCAAGGTGCGATTTTGCTTGTTATTTTGACTGTAGTGTTTATTCGGACGATCTTAAGAGTAATTTATGGGCTAAAAGGAGCTCGAGCTCGACTTTCTTTTCTTTTTCCTTTTTTATGTTGAATGTAGGATCTACGGCCACTCTGTTGCAAAGATGGCGCCTGCTGTGGAATGCGGGAAATGCAAACGACGGGTCTCATCTGATAGGTCCAGTTCTCCTATTAGTGATCGTCATTCCCCTCTCAGGTGGACCTCCTTTCGAAGAGAAAGATCGCCTGCTTCTCAGAATAGCTCTCCCAGAACTAGGTCACTGACTAGAATTAATTGAACTCAGTCTCCAGTGAAAGCAAATGTGTCCGATCGAGCTAGGTCAGCTAAACACATGCGGCAGCTCAAGGCTAGTGCTTCACGCTCACTATCAGCACAAACCAATCGTTTGAAACGAGCTCAAGCTGAGAGGTCACTAGATAGAGAGCATGGGGGAAAATTAGGCAGGGAAGATCATGATAAAGGGAGGCACAAAAGACATATGGAGGTTAAAGATTTTTCAAGGGATAGGAAATCATTAAGAGAGAAGAATGATGGCGTTTCATTAAAATCATCAAGGCGGGATCATTCAAATTCCCCAAAAGGATGAATCCTTAGGAGCAGATATAGTTCTCAGCCCCTTACTAGGGCTTCGAAGGTTGGGCACGGGGTGACGTGTCTGCTGATATCTGCTCCTTGTTCTTTATTTCTTTTAGCTGTCAGCTATGTTTTTACCCTATTAAGTCATTATATGCACTAGTCATGTACTTTTTTGTATGTTCACCACATACTTTTGCATGCCAAAACAAAGTTGATATGAAGAATGGACAATCGAATATTTATAACTAAGATGATCGTAGTGTTTAATGATGTATAAGACCATTCGTGATATATTATATAGAAGTGCATAGACCTAATGCGGTGCATCTAAGTTCAAATGTTTGTTTTATGCAATAGATACTGGTTGTATGCTTTTATTAGTTCTAGATAGTAAAACCTGCCTTTCCTCTTAAGACAAGTCCTACTTAAAGGCCTTTTGGTTGAAGCAACACAATCAGGTTGCATCCTAATTGTTTATCCTTTTAATAAAGCACAATTTGTAGGGAATGGTTTGTTGAATCTCGGATTTTGATGATGAAATCAATTGATAAATTGTTTGATCTAATTTATATGTTGAGAAAAGTGTGTAGGTCTAACTATGATAATTAAGACATTTAACAAAACATTTTAGTTTCGGAACGTCAATTGTTCTTCCGACGAGCTTCCGGCGATCTTTCGGCGAACTTCCGACGATCTCTCGATAATGTTTCGACGGACTTCCGGCAAGCTCCTGAACTTCACGACGATCTTCTTGGCGAGTTTCGACGAGCTTCTTTGGCAAGCTCCTGGACTTCTCGGTTGGTTTCGGTAGAGCTTTCGATGAACGTCTGGACTTCCGACAAACTCTCGAACTCTCAACGAAATCTCAATCTTGACTTCGGCACAACATTTGTTTTATGTCTTACTGCTATCGTAGTTAATCCTGCATACTTTTCTCAACATATAGATTAGATCAAATAATTTATCAATTAATTTCATCATCAAAATCTAAGATTCAACAATCTCTCTATTTTTTATGATGACAACCAATTGGTGACGGAGTTAACCGTAACTCCTCCTATCTATATGTCATTATTGAGAAAACACATTCTTGAATTCAAGCCTTTGAATTCAAGTATCAAACCGATAAGTCATATTCATTTAAACTTATCAACATGCACATTATGATACTTATTATGATTTACTAATACGATACCACGTATTTATCAATCAAAATGATGTCAAGGCATGACATCCATTTTCAAGTCCAATGATAATAAACAATCATCATTTTCAAATATGATATTAGGAATAATGAATTTACAAGTCATCATGTCATATTTCGCTACGTTTCAAGCAAACATTTTGATACATATTTTTCAAGTATGTATTTGACGATACCAATTATATTTAAAGTCATCAAGATATTAAATGCACAATCACTTCATGCATGATAAAATGTTTCGGGCATAGCCTTTCATTACTATTTTCATGAAATATCATCATGATATAACTTTTATAATTTGTAACATTCAAAAGTTCACAATATTAAGAATCTGATATTGCATCATTGTATGGTAAAATTAAAAATTTTTAGCATTAAAGAGATCACAATATTTTCACCACACTGCAAGCAGTGCTCACTGCTTGTAGGTGGTGGTACCGCTCAGTTGGCGGTAGCACCGCCAGTAGTCACGGGTTGTAGGCGGTGGCACCGCCCACAACCTGCCCTATATAAAGAACAAGCTAGGGTCGGCGGTAGAACCGACCCCAACTCATTCTACACCTTTCCAAAGTGCCCCAAACCTCTTGATCCTCTTGCTCTCCCTCTAGCAACTCAAAAGAATCCCCATTTTTCTACTAAATCAAGGATCAATCTCAAACATCCTTTTGGTGATCACAAGAAGGAAAAACTACTAAGGTAATCCCTAAACCAAATTGATTCTCCCTTTGCATTACTTATTCTTGCCTCTTATTTGTCTTCAAATTGTAGTCTTCATGACTTCTAGAATATCCTCAAGGGATAAAGGGAAGAGGAGATTAGATGAAACCTATGACTCCCTATTTTTTTATTCTCATCAACATGCCCTTAAGTTTTCAACCATAGAATCTAGAAATGTTCATAAGGGTAAATATGTTGATTTAGAGGAATTAAGTGATTTGGAACCTATTCAATAGTTTGTTAACCTAGATATCCTCCTAATCCTTCAAATATGTGAACCTATCTATTTTAGGCTTGTTAGATTGTTCTATAATAATTTACATGTGGATGAACACGGTAGGGTCTCCACTTATCTCTTAGGACATCATATACCCATTACGAATAGCGTAATTTACAACCTCATAGGAATTGCAGAGAAAAATAGAGGTTGTTATTTTAGTGGATAATGAGATGAAGTATCAGCTGAGACCACTTATTTTGAAGCCTTAGGAACCATCTTTGGTAATCCTAACTTGTATATTCTTCCAAAAAGCTGTGAACATTTGCTATCTTTAAACATCAAACTACTTCAGCACATCTTGATAAGCTTTATAATTCTAAAACAATATCATCATGATGAAGTTAACCAAATAGAAATAGGAACAATGTATTGGATTATGAAAAGACATGAAAATTGTTTTGGCTACCTAATACAACAAAACATGATTGAACTATCGAAAAAGGATATGATGCTTCCATATGGTGGCCTGATCACAAGACTAATCCATGTTTATGATATAGTTATCCCGCCCCACGAAGAAGTTATGAAACTAGATAGATTTATTGTCATAAATAGAAACCTACTACGAAGATTAAGGTGTATATTCAGAAATGGGATATGGACTAAATTACCTAGAAGGATTGATCCCCTCCCACCTGATCCAGAACCTGAAACACCAATGTTTAGGGGAAATCAATTTCCTCCTACTGGTCCCTTTGAGGCAACACCTCTAGCAAAGCAAGTAACCCCCTCATCTACCGACGGTATAGGGACTCGAATGGATCGATTTGAACAACGTCAAGATTAAATTTTAACTGAGTTGTAGCAGATTCATCGACAACTTAATACCTTGTTTAGACATTTTGACTTGCCATCGCCTGAATAGCTATGTATGTCTTTTTGCTGAAGACAAAGGGGAAATCAATCTCTTCCTACTGGTCCCTTTGAGGCAACACCTCCAGCAGAGCAAACACCCCCCTCATCTACCGATAATATAGGGACTCGAATGGATCGATTTGAATAATGTCAAGATCAAATTTTAACTGAGTTGTTGCAGATTCATCGACAACTTAATACCTTGTTTAGACATTTTGACTTGCCACCACCTGAAAAGTTGTGTATATCTTTTTGTTGATGACAAAGGGGGAGAAGTTGACGAAATCCCTCTCTTTTATGTTTGCTTATTTTGATGTTGTAATCTTGTGCTTACTTTGATGTTGTGATCTCTTTAATGCTGAGAATTTTTAATGTTACCATATAATGATGCAATATCAGCTATCTCTACCCATCTTATTTTTCATCCATTTCGAACTTATTTGGCTGTTGTTGGCACTGTTGATCTCTATTCCATGTCTTCTGATGACACCCTTATGTGAAATCTTCTCAGTCAATGAGCTTTAGTTCTAGGTAGTTTTTCATTACCTGGCCTAGGCTAAATTGCAAACCCTTCTCTGAGATGGTGAAGTCTTATCTCCGTACCTCTTTCAGCACAGATATCTCTTGTATACTGTGCTGGTATCATAGTGCTTATTAATCGTATTCATTACTTACAATTCATACCACCAGGATGAAACTCTTTGTATTTTAGTACTATAGATAATTAATATATTTTATTATCATTTCTTTTTGTTGTGTAGCAAAAGCCATCATTTGAGCTGTCTGGGAAGCTTGCTGAGGAGACTAATAGAGTTCAAGGTAATTAACTGGTTGTTGAATAAATATCTCACATAAACTGTAAATCTCAATTCATGGTTTGGGTTTGCAAATTAACTGTGTCTACCTTTATTTCATTCTTTATTTTAAAAAATGAAATGAAACTTTTACCTGCACTTATCATCTCTGAAGTATTTACAAGTTCTTATATGCTAATGCTATGTATATATATATGTATGTCTGTATATATATATATATATATATACATACATATACATACATATATACATACATATACACACATACCTATATATATATATATATATACATATATATATATATATATATATATATGTATGTGTGTATATGTATGTATATGTATACATATATATATACATACATATATACATATATTTATATACATCTATATATATTTATGTATATATATATATATATATACATATTTATATGTATGTGTGTGTGTGAATTTAGGTCTTATATGATAATACTTATTTGTCTGAATTTAGGTGTGACTTTATTATTTAATGAGCTGGCAAATGCTCACGAGCTAGATATAAATGGCAATTATATGTTTTCAAGACTGGGGAAGCACTCAGTGGTTATTTAGTTTATATACCTCAACTAATTAAACAAATGCTCATATTGATAGGATTTTTCATGATTATGCATCTCTTTCTCAGTTATGTGGAGTTTTATCAAATTAGCATCTGAAGCAATGATTGACTAATATCATTAATAAAAACCTAGAGAACGTCTGAAGCAATGATTGACTAATATTATTAATAAAAACCTAGAGAAAGGTTACTCTGAATTTACAAAACCTACCTTGTTTCATATATAGGTTTTTACTTTTCTCCTCTTCTTATCCTTGTATTTTTCCAGCATTCAATATTTTATCCTCTATTATTTCAGCTTGCTTATTTTTTTAAAATGATTTTGTCTCTGATAGACATTGGAACCTTATTTAGGAAAATTATTTGAACAAGTATTGCATAATCACTAAATTAGTTGACCCTAGCTGGTCTGACTTTTTAAATATCCACTTTAGCTGGTCTTGCATAATATGATAGTGATGATGCTCTTTAGGAAGTTGGATTTGACTTGACTCTCATCCTTTAGCATGCGATTATCAAATTGGAAATGAGTTGCTCAGATTACTAACACGGAGCCTTGAGGTCCATGTAAAACAATAAAAGAAAACATTCGGTCAGATCCTCCTTGCCACTTAAAGTCCAGTCCTGAATCCTCCTTGCTAATTAAAGTTGAAGTTTGTGCTGAGGAGTGCTGATGTAGGACAACCTAGAGGATGTTTAATGTGAATAAAGAATTGGGTAGGGAGTGGATAATAAATAAGAAAAATGTCAAAACAGAGAGAGAGGAGGCAAGAACATCATCTTAGTTTAAATTGTAAGGAATAATTATTAACTCTAAGACAACTACTAACTACATAAAGTATTTAATGGTTGTATTTTTTAACATGTGATGTCAAGGTAAATTGTAAAATAGAGGATATCTTGGGCGAGCACCAAGTCTCCACTCATAATGGAGGATATCGGAGATTTCTTATCGAATGGAAAGGCCTTGGAAATGAAATTGCACATGGATCAGATGAGAAGAATTTCAATTGAACTCTACAGTCAATACTGCCTTAATTCATCAGAAGCGAAATTTTTCAAGCAGGGAAAGTTGATGGATATCACATCACATTTAATATTTATACTAGATATACAACGAAAAAAGTCGACCCTAATTACTTTGTATTGGTGATGAACTTAGGTTCAAGCTTAGCTAACATATTCGGGTTCCCACATGACACCATCTCTATGCTATTCGGTTCTTATTTCTTAGATTGACAATGAAGAAACAAATAAAAAATAAAAAAGGAAAGAATTATATTTCTATAAGGAAGATAATCACGCATGAAGGAGAAATATTATTTGATAGTGTAACCTGAAAATTTTTCTTATCAAAAAAATACCAAATATAATATGTTTAAATCACTTTAATATTATTTTGTTTTCTTTCCTGTTAATTATTCCTATGTAGAAACTAGGAATTTTAATGGGATTATCAACTTTGGAACGAATAGTGATTCCCACAAAATGTGTGACGGATGTGTGGCCTTGGTTCCCTCCCATGTCAGTTGGAGGTCTTGGAGCAAGGTCAAGATCTATCACTCTGCCTTCCTCTCCTTTCCTATCCTGGATAAGCCTATTATTTATACCCTGTTGAAACCCAATCATCTTGAAGCCAACTTACAATGAAGACTTGTGATTCAACTTCTCAGCAATGTAGGCCAGCTGGATGATCCAAGGCCTTTCTCCTTGACAGAATTGGTGATCTTTGAATTGCATTATTTGTTCTCTATTGTTTAATTAATATTCTTGTGAATCAGGCTTTTTCTCCTCCTCTCTTTACTTTGTTTGTTTATTTATTACCCACTCCCCACCAAATTTAAATAACTGTCTTGTCAAATAATCTTTATTCTTCATGAATGTCTTCTTTCTTTTAAAATGATTTACAAGAAAATTCTTTCCTCTTTTCCTTTATTTATTCCTTCTTTGTCAACCTAGAAAAGTAGAACAGAATTGTAACCGAAGTTGCATGTGGCAACTCAAATATTTTAGTTGAATCTGAACCCTAGTTCATTAATCCAAAGTTATTCAGGTCGAACTTCTTTCCTAGCATGTCTAGTATAAATATTAAATGTGCTTGATTTCCGACAAGTGTTGAGTAGTAAATACACAATGATCGAAGAGAAACTAAGAGTAACTGAAGTTTAACAGGAGAATAAATGTATTGCATGGGGTCCCCTTTATAGATGTCGCTGGACCGTACGAAGATTGGTGGCACCATGTGGGTCAGTCTTCATGATAGATGCCCGTTGGCATCTTCTTTTCCCCATTTTTCTGTTTATTAGAATTGTCAAGGCTTCTAGTTTATTCGAATCATTTACTTTTTTAACTTTCTCAGTACTATTCCATTCTAAATTGCTAATTGTCTTCTCAGATAAACAGAGCCTCTATATGTGCACCGGCAGAATCTCTACCTTTGTGGTAGAGAAGAGGGGTTGCAGACATCCCAACAGATCATTCATCTTGTAGCAAACAACATGCTGTTATCCAGTATAGGTTAGAGTTTTGTTTGCTTCTATTATTTGATGATGCCATGAGATTTTCTTTTGAATCCATATAGTTCTTTTCAGGCTTGTTGAAAAGGAACAACCAAATGGTTTAACATCAAAACAAGTAAGGTAATATAGTAAACAAATTAATTGTTTATCTTCTTGCTGCATGGTTTTTTGATAAGTGAGGTAATATAGTAAACAAGTAAGGCTATAATGACATTATATATATATATATATATATATATATATATATTTTTTTTTTTTCCATGAACTCGTCAGGCCTTATCTAATGGATCTTGGAAGTACAAATGGGACATTTATAGATGTAAGATTTTCTGACTACCATTTTTATCATTTGTTTAAAAATATAAAACTTTCCAAATCTTCATAATCAGTTGATTTATCTCAGTTTGCATTTTTAACTTGGTATCTAGACGTGCAGGATAATCATATTGAGCCACAACATGATATTATGAACTTGAAAAGGATACTATTAGGTTTGGCAACGGTAGGTATGATTATTAGTTTCACATGATTTTAATTTTGTTTCCTCTGGATATAAACATGTTCATTTCTCTTTTGCAGTAGTAAAACCAGTGTTAGATCTCCAATTATTAAATGTTAATATGACCTCGTGTTTTTATAAAGCATAAGCCACGACAATGTTGTTGCACTTGTATTTCAAAGTTATTTTATTCTAATCGGCATGAAAGCATGACTTGCAAATTTTTAAACGAGGAGAGGAGAAGAGGCTGCCCCCAATTATGGTATAACTAACTCATCATCATATCTAACATACGTCAATATACTTGCTTGCAGCCAGGAATATGTATCATTACATGAGAACCCGGGTTGTAAAGCCAATCCTAAAGGATTGTTGATCTAACAATCAGTCCGTTGAAATTGCTGCATTTGTTTTTGTTATTGCTGGCTTAGCCATTCTGGTGAGCAAAATTTCTGATGCTTTAGAGTGCACTGTTTTGTTCAGATAAGAGCTATTTTTGTATATGATTTTGATGATACTGGAGTTTCTCTGATGCCGAATTCACATTTATTGTTTCTTTTTATCATGTTTGGAGGAATTCTGTTCTAATAAGATTCATTCGCAAGTAACTCATTTTGTCCGAGGGGGCATAGTTGATCGAGGATCCAGAATGGGTTATTTGTGCGTTGGTAATCGTTTGTGGTGGTGTTCGTTTCATGCGAGCATCATAAAATAGGAGCTTTATGTCCTATTTAACATCATCTCTTTTGTTTGACAAAGAAAAATTGAATTTAGTTAGAGCTTTATGCGAGCATCATAAATTAGGGGTGTGATTTCTAAGTAATGGATTTCTTTTCGTGTTATAAGTCTTTTTTAATCTTTTTCTTGAGAGTTATACTTTGAAGAAATTATTACGTCTACACGAAATCAGTCCTGTTAAGAATGTTGATTTTCTTTGAATATTAATATCAAATGTCAAATAAAAATGAGTGGATATCAATTTTCTTTTTAAAGCTATTTTTAATTAACGTGAGGTGAATTGAAATGTCTAATATATTTGCATATACAAGCATATGATATGTGGAAATTATTTAATTATAAAAATAAATGTTAAAAATTATATATTTAGGAAAGTAAATTATTTAATTTTATTATTTTAAAATTTTAATTTTATAAATTTATTTTTTTAATCGTGAGATTTTAATGTTTTATTTTTATAAATATAAAGATTATGTAACTTTTGAAATATAAAGATCGAAATTGGAATGCAAGATTAATTACAAAAGTTAATTTATAATTAGTCTGAGCTAATTTGTAATTAGCCATTGCCTACCTATATATTAGCGCTATATTCACCTTGAAATATTGTCCTCATAAATTATGCTCGCGAGCCAATCAAATCCAACCCAAATCCCAATCATGGGCCCACAGAAGAAAAGTTCTCTTCTGTGGCCTTAAAAGAATAAGCTTTACGGAGCTCCACGGAGTCGATCATGGCTTGGTGGCCGCCTCGGTCTCCTCTCGCCACTCCGACTGCGTCTCGCTCCACGAGCGCGGCCGCACCCCGAACCTAAAGAATATTAACATCTCCGCCGCCTCGAACACCTTCCACCGGTCCAGCGCCGCGTTCCACACCCCGCTCACGATGCAGTAGTTGGTGTTGTACGGCTCCCGGTGGTGCGCCGCATGCGAGGGCCGCGACACCAGCACCCCGGCCTCTTGCAGGGCCGCCACCGCCGCCGGCAGCCGGCTCCTCTTCTCGTGCGCCCACGCGTGGAACTGCTGGCTCAGCATTACGCAGCCGGCGCACGTCCCCACGAACGCGTGCGACGCCGCGTCGCCGCCGCCGGCGTAGAGGAGGGCCTCGATGGGCAGCACGGCGAGGGCCACGGATCGGGCGAGGGCGTGCAGGTTGTTCGCGAACTGCCGACGGGTTATGGTCCACGGCCAGCGGTGGTGCCCCTGGAAGGCCTCGATCTGGGAGCCAAACACCGGCGTCGACGGACCGCCGTAGTTGTCGATGGCCCAGTGGTAGATGCCGGTGCCGAGGTCGGCGAGGATGTAACCGACGTACGCGGCGAGGAGAGGTTCCACGACGGAGCCGGAGTCGGCTGCGGCGGCGACAGACTTGGCCAAGGAGCTGAGCACGGAGGCAAAGCCGGTGGCGACCCACGCGCGGTGCGACCACGTGGAGCGGAGGGAAGAGGGGTCGTGGATTGCAACATTGGTCGGACTCATGCGGGTAACGTCGTCAAGGCGGGGCGGGGCGGCGACGGCGGAGGGGTGTGTGGAGATGGTGGCGCGACAAGGGCGGTGGTGGTGGCGGGGGACCCTGGAGAGGCGCGAGTAGGGGGTTAGGGTGTACATTTGGCGGGTGGAAGAGCTAAGGAAAGGGAGGAGAGGGAGGTGACTAATAAATAGAGATGGAGGAAGAAAGGAGGTGGTGGTGAGGAGCAGAAGGGGTGGCTTGTGGTGGTGGAAGGGAGCACGTGGGTGCGTGGATGGCGTCGAGCAGCGTATTGGAGTTTGAGAAACGAGAGGGAGAGGTGGTGGCGGCAGCCGAATTGCTTCGGTGAGAACCACAGAAGAAGCATACTGATGTGTAATGGTCTGTGGACAGCGTCAATGTTGTACGCGGGAAGGTTATGGAAGGTCAGCAGTTGTGGCTTAGGAGTGGCCAAGTTCAGCTGCTGTAGAATACTGGTCGGAACCCAACATTTAGCTTCTCGTCCTCAAACACCAGAAAAATAGAGAGAGCACAAAAATATGCCATCTCAATTCCCAACTCCAAATTTGTATGACGAACACATTAAGAGATAAGACAAAAAAAAAGATGATAACGAGTAGAAATGAAACACATATTAAGAGAGTGAAGAAGAAGTAGGACATGAAGAAAGGCCCCGTAGAGGAGCAAGCAAGGTAGAAAAACTGCAGGTACAAGTGCAGTTCTGGAGGAAGCAGTGAGAACCATCTGAAATAAGAGAGAGAAACAGAGACAGAAGTGAGCAGAGGAGGAGGAATGTAGACTCGGATCAGCTGGTGGGCGAGCGAAGACAGTAAGCATAAAGATATGTAATTATGCTACGTCAATAATACGGAAATAACCTATATGTCAGGATTGAAATCAATATATAGATCTAATTATACGATGCGTACATTTTGATATCATATGTTCAGAGAGATCGAACGGAATCTAATTAGTTATTCTATTATATATCTTATTCAATTATAAAAGAGCCACATATTCTAACATTTTTTCACTTGGCCCATTAATTGATAAGATATAAAAGAGATACAAAATCAAAACAAACAAAACAAAATTTGTTTAAAAAATAATTTTACCTAATTGGATTCCAAGAAATTTTGAAAAGTATTTTATACATGGTCATGTTTTAAAAATAAGCCAATAAGTCCAATAAACACAATAATACTATATTAAGTCCAACTATCAATGCGAGTCATAGCGGTTGTATTTCATCCATGTCATACTCCCTTCTATGTACCACAACATTGTTAGTCTTTCCTAACATAGTCCATAATAACTCCTGTAATTTATCTTGTCAAGACAATCCTATTATTACATTCAATCATAATATGTATAAATATAAATATAAACAGGATAGCAGAAACATATAACTTTAATTAAGTAAAATGTCAATAATAGCATCCACATAAACATGCATCACCATATCCTTTATGACTTGCTCACAAGCCCCATTCTAAGAATATGTTCTTTGAATATTTTGCACTGTAACGCTTTTGTCAATGGATCAGCAATCATCATAGTGGTGCTCAAGTTCTTAATTGACACTTGCTGTTTCTGGACTCTTTCTCTAACCACCAAGTACTTTATCTCAGTGTGCTTGGAACCACTAGAGTACTTGCCATTCTTAGAGAAGAAAACTGCTGCGGTGTTATCACAAAATATCTTAAGCGGCTTGGCAATTGAGTCAACAACACCAAGTCCTGAGATAAAATTTCACAGCCATAAAGCTTGATTTGTGGTCTCAAAGCATGCCACAAATTCAGCTTCCATTGTTGATGATGCAATAAGCGATTGCTTTGCACTTTTTCAAGAAATTGCCCCATCAGCTAACATAAATACAAATCCTGAAGTGGACTTCCTACTGTCGAGGCAATTTGCAAAATCAGCATCTGAATATCCAGTTACTTCAAGCTGATCAGATCTCCTGTATGTGAGCATATAATCTTTTGTCCCTTGTAGATATCTCGTTACTTTCTTTGCAGCTTTCCAATGTTCCATTCCTGGGTTGCTTTGATATCTTCCCAGCATTGCAACTACAAAACTGATATCTGGTCTTGTACAGGTTTGAGCATATAATAGACTTCCAACTGCGCATCTATAAGGAATATTCTTCATTTGATTCTTTTCTAAGTCATTTCTTGGGCACTGGTTTTAACTGAATTTTTCACCTTTAGTAATAGGTACATCATTGGTTGAGCAAAGCTGCATATTAAATCTCTCCAAGATACGATCAATATATCCTTTCTGAGACAATCCTAATAATCCTTGAGATCTATCTCTGAATATCTCAATGCCAATAACATAGGATGCCTCATTCATATCAACCA